TTTTTTTTTTAAAAAAAAAAAAAAAAAAAAAAGCTACCTTTTAACTCAGGGGAAATGTTGTGGTTCCAGTTCTGTGTAAAAAATGGCAGCTCAGCTGGCCTGACTGTATGTGAAGGGTTCTTGAAAGCCACCTCTGTATCAGTGCAGGGATAAGAGCAAATTACATAATGTTTTTTGGGCAAAAAAAAAGTTCTTCTCAGATTTTAGTAATGTCAAGCTCAATTGTGGCTTTGTTTTGCCCTGCAAGTCTGAGTATTGTTATTACTACTGGGGATGGGGCTGTATGCCTGTGCATGCTTCGTCCGTATCGGTGTGCTTCCATTGGTCACCCAGAACTGATCTTCTTGTTTTGTGGATAGTTCATTGTATTTCTTCAATCAGTTTACCACCGATTTATTTAAAGTAGCCATAGTAAGTGACAGAAACAATGTGTGTGCAAGCCTATGTATTCCTCGAGTGAATCTCACTGTTATCATAGTGATAATCTGTATGTGTTGGTGCTGTGGATACATACATTGAGTACTGACATTGCTTTTTCTGTCTCCATCTTCATCCTTTCTGTATCGTGCTATCCCAACCCAAATGTTTGGGCATGCATAACATCAGCATTTGTGTTTAATATCCCTGAAATGCACAGCAACATAGGAACGGTGCAGGACTGAGGAGAGTAAATATGCATAAAATTGGAATCTCCTTTGGTTATTTTACTTTGTTAGTTATGCATGTTTGGCATGTATGAGAGAGAGATATGTATTTGACAGACCTCAGAGTTATTTGTGTTTGTTTACAGAAATTTACATTCTGTATTTGAAATCACTCTAGCTCCTGTGTATTTGGTCATTAAAATCTTTCATGTTATTTTAAATTCAGTGCTTGTAGTTTATCTATAATCCTTGGCAGGTACAGTAGCTCAGTGGAATACAATTTTTAACCCAAATAATGTTTTTGGAACAATGACAACTGAAAAACGTTTTCTTTTTTTTCTTTCCTTCTTTCTTCTTTAGATTCTTTATCTTTGTTCAGGAGCCTAAGGTTGCTTGCTGATCACAAGAAGATGTTTCTGTGGCTCTTTCTGGTTCTGTCATCTCCAGTTTCTTCTACAACTGCAGATGCTGATATATCTGTGGAAATTTGCAATGTTTGCTCCTGTGTGTCAGTTGAGAATGTACTCTATGTCAACTGTGAGAAGGTTGCAGTCTACAGACCAAATCAGCTTAAACCACCATGGTCTAATTTCTACCACCTCAACTTTCAGAACAACCTGCTAATTATTCTATATCCAAATTCCTTTCTTAATTTTACACATGCAGTGTCCTTGCAACTGGGTAATAATAAGTTACAGAATATTGAGGGAGGGGCCTTTATGGGTCTCAGTGCATTAAAACAGTTGCACTTGAACAACAATGAATTAAAGATTCTCCGAGCTGACACTTTCCTTGGCATAGAGAACTTGGAGTATCTCCAAGCTGACTACAATTTAATCAAGTTTATTGAACGGGGAGCCTTCAATAAGCTTCACAAGCTGAAAGTCCTGATCCTTAATGACAATCTGATTTCATTCCTTCCCGATAATATTTTTCGATTTGCTTCTCTAACCCATCTGGATATACGAGGGAATCGAATACAGAAGCTTCCATACATTGGAGTTCTGGAACACATTGGTCGCATTGTCGAATTGCAGCTGGAAGACAACCCCTGGAATTGTACTTGTGATTTGTTGCCTTTGAAAGCGTGGCTGGAGAACATGCCCTATAACATCTACATTGGAGAAGCGATCTGCGAAACACCCAGTGACTTGTACGGAAGGCTGCTGAAAGAAACCAACAAGCAGGAGCTGTGCTCCATGGGGACAGGGAGTGATTTTGATGTGCGCATTCTGCCTCCCTCGCAGCTGGAGCCCGGTTACAGCACACCCAACGGCCACACCACTCAAACATCAGTGCACAGATTAGTCACAAAGCCGCCAAAGACTACAAACCCTTCGAAGATTTCGGGGATAGTGGCAGGCAAAGCGTTATCTAATCGCAATCTCAGTCAAATCGTATCTTACCAGACCAGGGTGCCTCCTTTAACGCCTTGTCCAGTCCCCTGTGTTTGCAAAACGCATCCTTCAGACTTGGGATTAAGTGTAAATTGCCAAGAAAGAAATATAGAGTCAATGGCCGAACTCATACCAAAACCTTTAAATGCCAAGAAACTGCATGTAAATGGCAATTATATTAAGGACGTGGACACGACAGATTTCATTGAGTTTGAGGGGCTGGATTTGCTACATTTAGGCAGCAATCGGATTTCGGTGATAAAAGGAGATGTTTTCCGCAACCTTACAAATTTACGGAGATTGTATCTCAACGGCAATCAGATAGAACGCCTGAGCCCAGAAATGTTTGCTGGCCTCCACAACTTGCAATATCTGTATTTGGAATACAATGTTATCAAAGAAATCCTAGCAGGCACTTTTGACTTAATGCCAAATTTGCAGTTGCTCTACCTGAACAACAACCTTCTCCGAAGCTTGCCAGCGTACATTTTTGCTGGTGCACCACTTGCTAGACTGAATCTGAGGAACAATCATTTCATGTATTTACCTGTAAGTGGCGTTCTTGATCAGCTAAAATCTCTTACACAAATTGATTTGGAAGGTAATCCATGGGACTGCACTTGTGATTTAGTTGCTTTAAAACTGTGGCTTGAAAAACTAAATGAGGGTATTGTAGTGAAGGAATTGAAATGTGAAACACCTGTACAGTTTGCTAACATTGAACTTAAGTCTCTGAAAAATGAGATCCTCTGTCCTAAGCTTCTAAACAAGCCATCTGCTCTGTTCACCAGTCCTATGCCCCCTATTACTTTTACGACGCCACCGGGACCAGTTCGGAGTCCTCCTGGTGGCCCAGTTCCATTGTCCATCCTAATCTTAAGCATATTAGTTGTGCTTATTTTAACGGTGTTTGTTGCTTTTTGTCTTCTTGTTTTTGTGCTTCGGCGCAACAAAAAACCAACTGTAAAGCATGAAGGGATTGGGAATCAAGAATGCAGTTCTATGCAACTGCAGCTAAGAAAGCACGATCACAAGTCAAACAAAAAAGATGGACTAGGTGCAGAGGCCTTCATTCCGCAAACCATTGAGCAGATGAGCAAAAGTCATACCTGTGGCTTAAAGGAGTCTGAAACGGGCTTCACGTTTGCTGACCCACCAGGGCAGAAAGTCATTCTGAGAAATATTAATGACAAGGAGAAAGATTTATTGCATGTGGATACCAGAAAAAGACTTAGCACAATCGATGAACTGGATGAGTTATTCCCTGGGAGGGATTCCAATGTATTTATTCAAAATTTTCTTGAAAGTAAAAAAGAATACAACAGCATAGGGGTCAGTGGCTTTGAAATACGTTATCCAGAGAAACTACAAGACAAAAAAAACAAGAAGTCTCTAATAGGTGGTAATCATAGTAAAATTGTAGTAGAACAAAGGAAAAGTGAATATTTTGAACTGAAGGCTAAACTTCAAGGTTCACCAGACTACCTACAAGTCCTTGAAGAACAAACAGCTTTGAATAAAATATAGGTCATACAATCTTATTGCCTACAGAGGACATTTATTTAATGATGAAAGTGCCTTTTGTTGACTTTTAACTTCCAAATACTATATTATATTGATAGGCATAGAGGCAGGTGTATCCAAGGGTGTCTGATTAACTGTAGCTGCATATGATTTCTCAAGTAGAGGAGAATTTCCTTAATAGATTTTACTACATAAAGCTCATGCCCTGTGGAATCCTGTAGGGATACTGCAAACTCTATTGCCAAAGGGATGCTTTATACACGTTACACTGAATTTAACCTCAAGAGGCATATATGTTTTGTACCTTAAATGCAAAACCATCGTCTCCTTGTGATTTGTTAGAACAAACACAAGAAACCTGGTACTGGTATTTGTACCTCAGCTGGGTCCTTCATCCTGCACGTGGATTTAAGTTGGTGGAACTGGAGTAATCCTTTGATTTGTGGTGTTGTAATGGCACTGTTTAAAGATTATCTGGAAAGTAACAAGCATGCAAAGAGAGAACATTCGATAGTATGTGTAAATTGGTTACATTTATGGCCTGCATCTTGAAACCACTGGAATTATAATGTTAAATTGTGCAAATATTTGTTTAAAATATACCATGCATTACATACCTATGAAATAAATTTGACCACTTGAAGCATACATGTCTATACATAAAATTAAAGAAAAAAGAAAGAAAGTAGTTCAACCTGACTTCTGCAGTATTTGTGGCATCTGAAGAAAATATTTGATGTTTATGCAGAATCTGTCTTAAGACTTATCTCCAACTAAAACTAGAGTTCCTTCTCAGTTATGTGAAACACTTGCAACCCCAACAGGTTGTCCAAAATTGTCAGAGTGCTTACTGTGTGAGCGTAGCAGAAATTATTTTTGTAATATAATTCATATTTATGAAATACTTTGTATACTAAATAGGAAAAATATGTACTCCTTAATATGTATTTAATATGCCTGACTTGTTTTCCTGATCACAATGCATTAATCATTCAGTATAAATAAAACCAGAACAATATACCAAACAGAAACTGGGGCTGTAATGTATAGAATTATCCAGAATTAAGTGATCAGATATAATAATAATAAAATTGTTCTGTACTATTCTTGTGAAATTAGCATATTATCTTATTTCAGATTTGTTACCAATGGTGCATTTTAAAATAGATTCATTAGTTTTTTAGTATTGTGTCTCAGGCAATTATTTGCCATCAGTTGTCTTGCTTTTCCAGGTTCTACAGGTTAATCTAAATAGTTTTCACTTCAAGTATTTACAGGAATTCATGGTAAGGGTAATATTTTAATTGTATATGCATAAGTTTTCTGTTCGTATATCTGTCTGGCTGCTGTCAGTCAGAAAAAATTGATCAGAACAGTGAACAATATGGCAAATCATGTCTGTTTAAAACCACAGTGTAAAATGAATACAGTGGTCTCAGTTCAGAATATTGTGTAGCTCATATCTACAGAGTAAAAACTTGCCTTTGTGAAAGTTGAATCTGAATAGCTGGGAAAAAAAAAAAGTAGGAGAATGGAAAATCCACACTTGTGTCTCAGTGATAGATGTTACCTTGAGATGAGAATGGAGATATATTGGTAAAGCATCATACAGCAAATCTATACTGTCAGATTAACAAAACTTTGACTTGAAAAGGAAAATTTTCATTCATTTCAAGGGTTTTTGTATAAGACCCTCTCTCTCCTTTGCTTCCAGAACCTTCCCACACACATGTACCTTTTATAATGAATACATCAATCAGTTAAGATTAGTAGGGTATAAACATGAATGTTTCTAATGAATTTGAAACTAGCAAATATTAGAGCAAGACCCAATAATAATACTGTGGAGAAGGCTGTGTCAGCTATTTCCATTATAAACCTCTAATTTCAAGGGTTTATGACATTGCTGTGAATCTTTTTTTCAGGAATTATATTTGGCAAACAGCCTGCAGTATATTTTTAACAAAGTTTACAAAAAAAAAAAAATTGCACTGCTTCTATATTTAAGAGACAGCAAAACAACAACATTTTTCTACTTTCAGAATTTGTTTATGCTCTTCTAACTTAGAAATAGGTTTTATTCTTTTTCTCCATACTACAAAGTATATACATTATTTCAGTTAATAAAATTATAATAGATAAATTAATGGCTGAGTTTCTTTCAAAAAGCTGCTGCTAGCCATGCACAACAATTGGTTTCATGCAGGATGTCATAGGGATTTTCAGGACATGGATTCTATGTACATACATGTTTCTAGCATAAAAAGTTCTTGGTTGACCAATGATACAATACATGGCCAAGAACTGAATAAGAACATTTGAGCTTATTGTGTCAAGAGTCTGTGGTTTAAAGAGTGTGCACTGACATGATAACCTTAGAGCGGCTCCATCAGTAGGCTAAGAATAATGGGTGCTAAACAGGGCTGCAGGGCTTCAAGGATGTGTAAAGGTTCACTGGGATTTGGCAAAGCATAAGGCTACTGATGCTTTAGTACATTGTCAGAGACTATCAAATTCCCATATCCCACTCTTGAGAGGCATGTGTTAAAAATAGTAAAAAATAGCAAATGAACTAATACTTTTAAGTGATGTTAAAACTGTTGTGCTTGTGACACATGTTGCCCTGAGTTCAAAGAGCAATGCTAAATGATCATACCTTCCTCAGCTACGAATTGAGGGGTTTGGTTTTGTTTTGTGTCATGATTTGGTTGGTTTGGGTTTTTTTGGTGGTGAGGTCTTCTGTTCGCTGATGAAAAAGAGGAAGAACTGAACCATTACATTGTACCATTCCATTGGGTCAGATTTTCCTGCTCATTGAAGTCCCAATCCAGTAAAGCATTTAAGTTCAACCTAAATCATGTGCAGAAGTACTATGCATGAGCTAATAATTAAAGACCAGCCCAAGAGTGGGGCTTAGAGTTTTGTCATTGAATTCAAAAAAACCCAGCTCAAAACCATTGTATGTAATACATAGAGTCCAGTGACTCTTTTGGGATTATGCTGTTGAGTGTAGGTTCACCAGCATCAGTAAAGGTTACACAATCTGGACCTTCCTGTAGAAATTGTTCCCAAGTGTTTTACATACATGGTGCAATACGTAGGCATAATAGTGTGAGTGAAGAACGCAGAAGTTGGCAAGACACTCTATTTCTGTGACATTGTTACTTTGAATGACAACCTTAATGCCAGTCTATTTCCTCCATGTGTTGAAACAGAGTATGTGTCTGCACAGCAGTTTTAGTGTAATGTCCATTCAAATCTATAGTCAGTCTGTCTGGAAGGGTGACTCCTCAGATGTGACTTAACAGATCCGTCTGTTCATGATACTGGTTTGAGTGGTCATGCTTGTAAAATGACTGCTAAGACCCATAGACATAAATTAAATCAGTGAAGGTGTTAACATAACCTGTTGTCTTCATTGTACTATAAAGAAGTTTCCATTTTTAAATAAAATCAATAAAGTATAATCGTTTCCTTGAAAAAGAAAAAATTTGTGCAATTTTATCAGAAAGCAACTACCACGGTGCAAGAACACAAGACCATTAGATGACTTACATTTTGCATTTAGTGTTCAAGATTGACAATAATATAGAAATCTAGTACAAAAGTTTTTTGGTTTTTGTTTGGTTTTTTTTTTAAAGCCATAATGACAAATTATAAAAGGCATGGCCTTGTGAACAATGTTAACAAATGCTTCAGAATCAACAAAACACATCCAGAACTTGATGGTGGTATATTATCTATAATATCTTTTGCATGGTTTGTACATTGATATTGTATGAAATGAGCACAGTGAGATTTATTTTTTTTTGGTTGCATCCAAAGAGTTAGGAAGGAAATATGACAAGAATGTATTTATAATCACTCTATTTTGAAATAAAGTAAAGAAAACAAAATGTATTGGTTTTACCCTGCTTCGATCATTACTATTATAGATTAGTTTATAATTGAGATAGTTACTTATAACATCCCGTTTAATGTAAAACACAGAAAGCTGTTGTTTATGAATTTTGTTTGCCTTCAGCAACATCAAAATATTAGCAAATGTCGACTTAAAAATTTGTATGAAATATTAATAAAATCGTTTGGTACTATTGTATTTCTGAAACTAGACTTTTTTAAGTGCCTGTAATATTCTCTTTTGGATCATTTGTATATGTATGAAAGAGAATCTATGACGTAGTTAAACAGTAATGCTTTCTAACCACCCTGACAATTTGTTGTTATTTTTTGTGGCAGTTTTTCCCATCTTCTGTCTACCAAAATCCTCCTTGCCTCTGTTTTACAAATAGTCCCTCCAAAGTCAGTGACATTTTTTTGCATTACTAACACAAGCAGAATTTAGTTTTTAGTTGGATTTGGAGATCTTCAGCACAGAAATGCTTAGAGGAACAATCATGTAATGCTAGGGGCATTTGTTTTGATTCTGCTCCCTTCTCATTAATCATTTTGGATAAGACACGATTTTTCAGAGGAAAGAAAAGTTGTTTATCCTTAGCAAAAAGAAAAATAACAATTCATATACCATTTCAATTTGTTAGGTTAGTTTTATAAATGAAAGTTGAAAAGATGTCTTTAGATAGTTGTAACTTCCAAATTTAGATTTGATAGTAAAAATGTTTTACGAAGCCTTATAAAAGCCTTCATGGGAGGCGAGAAGAGCAGGAACAGAATTACATCTAGATTAAACATACCCTGTTGTGTAGGATTTAACATGCATTATAGTGGTGGTGAATGAGAATAAGAATGTGATATGGACTAGAAAATCAGGACTTGATTCAGATTTTTTTTTCACTGCCAGTTGCAGTGTAACGTTAGGAGCAAACGCACAGCATTAATTGAAAAAGGCCTATGTATATATTCCATAGAATTTCTTTCTAAAGAAAAACTTGAAAATGAAGAGTAATTATTCATGTGTTGAAAATGTGTGCACCAATTTCCTGAATGTAGAGGAACTTGATCGCTTTCTGTTAGTAAGTTTTTCCATTACTTAATCTTTATTTCTACTTGTAATTCATTCATCCTTATGTATTCTGATTGATGCTGTGTTGAAAAATAAAGATAGGAATGTTAATGCTCAGGGACAAACTCATCTCAGAAATTTATCAATGTAAATCCAGACTTAACAGACTTCAATGGCATCAGATCAGCCTTACCCTAGTGAACACAAAAGCATCAATTTACCATATTAGGTGAGCTGATCTATCTGCTATTGAAATAAAAAATAAGTAATTTTTTACTTGAAATAAAATGTAATCTTGCTTTATGCTCTGTTGATTTGTGTGGTAAAGCTGTTACTAGTTTCAAATAACTATAGGGCAGAATATAGAGTAGGTGCAGTCCTGTGTCCGTTTGATGTCAGTGGAACTCTACAGTGGTTCAAGAGCTGTGAGCATCCTGTAGATGTACTACAGATACAAAACTATATGTGTTTGCCGGTTTCGTACATAGACTTGGGATATACATCTCATAAAATAAAAAATGCTATCTTAACAATACAATTTATTTTCTCCATATAATGGAACAAACTTACCATGTTCTTCTTTCTCATTAAGTAGGGACTTTATTGAAATATATTTATTTTACTTTTAATTTTATTCATATTCATTAGGTATTGAGATATTTATTGTCTGAAAACAGTACCTTTTGGGCAGTCTGTTATTCTTAAAATGCCAGTTACGAGTAACAGGCTGATGCTGTATTATGTTGATTTTCCATTCTCTTGCTGGGAATTCTGATAGTCATTTAACACTAAATAATTTCTTAAAAGCTCACATAATAATCAAGTAAAAAAAAGAGACCTAGCTGATACGAAATCTGATTTTTTGTATGTGTGTACGTGAAGGCTTAAAATACTGTAAATCAACTCTGATTGTCCCTTTGGTATTTGCTTAACCAGAAAACAAAAGGTGATCTCTGTATGGTTTAGTAGTATTTTTGCATATGTGCATTAACAAGTCTTCCTCAGTTTCCCTCATCCACAAACATTTAATTTCTTGATTTAATTTAATGTAATTTCCTAGAAATTACCTTCCAGGGCATCCTTCCATTTCATGCTCTCACTTCACCTTCAACGTGCCCAGTCCCTTACAGCTGAATGTTTGTCTAGACACTTGATTAATAGTAGTTTCCAAAGAGGGAAAGGAGTAGGATTTATCTATTTACAAAAACCAGCTAAAAAAATGCTAACTGTAGGAGATTGTCCTGGATGGTTTCTGAGTCATGTCAGATGATGTAGAATCCAAAACAGAGGAGTAGGAAATATTTTAAGCTTCCGTTAGGAAGATTCATGCTGGGCTTTTGAAGCTGGACAATCATGGCTTTTCCCGACCGTAAGGTGTACAGTGTGAAGTATATGGGATTCTGTGAACTCAGTCCTGACAGTCAGGCTGTGGGCTAGGTCCTGTAGACATATGCACCCACTTACCCAGACTAGGTTTTGGTGTCACTATTCACTGAAAAGTCTTGGACAAATCATTCAGGTTAAACCAGATGTTTTACGTATTTCTTAACAAGGTTTTTAACTGAGGTGTGGGTTCACTTGTGTGTACACTGGATGCTATTTGGGTATGGAGGTTAGTCCATACGTAATGTTTGTTGAGCACTTTCTTTGGTAGAGTCTCTCTTTGTGAGATACATTAGTGCTCACATCTGAGATGCTGCACAGTCATTACATCTCAGTGAGCCAAGTCACAAAGGGCAGAGCATTTTGACAGATTTTGAGCTCTTCACTGCAAGAAACTACAGAAAATTATGTACCATACAGCAGATTTCCTTGCTCCCTGGGAGAATCTCATAGACACTCTGAGTCCTTTTTGGCAGAGTATTCTTCTTATCTACATATCACAAATAAGACTCCAGGTCACCAGTCTGCTATATGTATAGTCTGTGTTTGTTTATACCCAAAACGAATTCAGTGGAGAAGGGTGGGAGAAGAACTTTAATTCTTTTCTGAAAAGCAAAATGGCCTAAATCTGATTTTTTTCAGGATTGACAGAGAAAAATACAGGTATTTTAAAGAATTGTCACATTGTTGGGCAATATCTGTATTTAGAAAGTCTGCATTTAGGAAGTATTTTACTAAGAGAAAGAGAAAGCAAGCAGTTGGGGTAATATTTTTAGCATACAGCTTTTCAGCTTGTTCCATTCTTGGGTTAGTATATGCCCTGAGAGCCAAGGGACTCACGTGTGTGGCTCAGGCCACAGTTTAGCTGCAAAGATACATCCTAAATGTCTTGCTGCCTTTTGTGTGGTAGAAATGAAATGCAAGGTTTTGAACGTTCCCTCTCTTATTTGCTTTAATGGAAGCTGGATCAGTTAGTGTTCTTCAGGACCAGTCTTTAAGCTCCTGTTGAGGTGTTTCTACAATTTGATGAAATTAGCAACACGAGTACAAATGTCATACAAGGGGGTGATGCCTTCGGATGGGATTAACACTTTGAAATAATTGGGGTTCTTAGTGTCTCTTTCTTAAATATTTCCATGTGGTTGCACTGTTTTATCCTCATGAAGATTGTTACTTTGGGGATCAGTTCAATAAATTGGTAGTTTTACAAATGTGATCAGGAGATTGTATCCAAATGTACAGCAAAAAACTTTGCTTTTAATTCTCTTCATTTTCTAAGATGTAAATAAAGAAGAACAACATCATGAATAACCTATATTTAAGATTTCTTTTTGTTCAGTCAAAATTACTTTTGCCTTAACTGAGTGAAATACTCAGCAAGTACTTTGAGAGAATTGGGATACTGCCAGCAAATAAGGTCCTTATTCTGTAATCCTTTCTCAAGAATATAAGCTATGGAAGCACTAAGGTTTTATCTTTTAAGTAGCTTCCCTGAGAATTTGGAGTTTCACTTTAGCAGTTGGAGCAATGCCATGAACATGATTTTATGATTTTGTTGCAATAGTTGCATACATGGTAACTAGCAGAAGTAATGGTCAACAAGAACAAGTGTGATGCATTATCTGTGTAGCTTTGTCAACTAATTTATACCACTTCAGCATATGACAGCAAAGATAGTAAGGATCACATATTGTAGAGTGTGTTGGTAAGGATTCCCTTACATTTGTAATGTGCTTTCAAAATGAAAGCAGTATGCACATGATGAGTATTATCAGCATACAATTCATTTCAAAAGGGGAATACCATTGTACTCTTATTCAGATTGAGAAATATCACTGAAAGTGAATAAGATGGGGTTTCCTTTCTGTAAATTTCTCTCCTTCAACCACTAAATAGACCAGTTTCCTCTATACAGAACAATACAGCTCTGAGCCATATGCTAGAAAATATATAAGCCTAAGAAAGACAAGCAAATATGTTCCCTCCGAAGAGAACATCTGCATTATAATAATAAAATCACTCATATTTTTCAATGACATTTCAACCTCTGGCAGTTTTTGCTTATGCTGGCAAACTGTGAGGCTGAGATGTAGGATTGGAGTTGGTTTCTGTTTCCTTTCTGCACTCAAATACACCTTTTGACATGACACTTGCATGAGGTCAGTTTGCCTAGTGTCTCTTAGTGCCATAAGGCGTTGAAGCAACAACATGTATTTATATGTTGTAGGCATATATTATTCAGGCATTTGCCACCGGCCTCACAAACAAGATGTCCCCAGGGACAACAGAAGCATGGCAGTGACCTTTGCTAAAGGTCATTCTCGTACCCTCTGGGGCAGACCTCTGTGTCGTGACCCAGAACATCCATGGGTTGGGCCAAGGAACAAGGCAGGGCTCAGTAACATCCTTGTTTTGACATTGAAGGGAAGCAAAGTAACAGTACCAGAACAGCATAGCAGCTTTGTAATCAAGTATGCAAGACTCTCTCTCTTTGCTGTTACTTCATAGATGGGCTAGTCTGTTTTGCAACAGGAAAAGCAATCTGCTCTTCTGCCTAGAATCTGAACTCTGAAGTTTGGGACGAGACTGGAAGAGCTTGTTTGACCAAATCTGTTGTCCTTCACAGTACAACCAGATCAGATCCTTTGTCAAATTTGTGGAGAGGTATGGGTTTTTTTCCCTGTCTGTAAGTAGTGTACAATCAAGCTTGCTTTAACAACTTTTAATGATTCTGTAATGTACTACCCATAGTGCATGTTCACATGCTACACTGTCATCTCCATGCAGTATTGTTGTCACTGGCAGGAGATGGGGACAACCACTTTTTACCTCAAATCCTGTTGTGGTGGCCAGAGTCAGATTGTCTTCCTTGATAATTAACACCCTTCTGATATAATAATTTACTTCTTTTCTGAATCACATCGCTCTGTTTCTCATTAACAAAGAAAGTTTTCACCTTTTTTCCCCCATTCTTCTGTGCAGTAGAAATTCCTTTAATCCATTTCCAACCTATAAAAAACAATGAAAAATCCGCTGCAGGAAAACTCCACTTTATGTAATGCACTGAAGATGGCACTATAGTAACAACTTCACACTGTGAATGATAAGATATGCTTGTGTTTGTTGCTGGGAATTTATGATTTTTTTATTTATTTAGCTCTGCTCACATAAAGCCAAAGGTCAGTTTAATGCAGCAGCACCCGACACTGCTACTGTAATTAAGGCCGGATAAGTGTTTCTGTCACTTAGACTTATCTGCAAGGAGATTCCAACTCAACCCAAAGTACATGGAATAGTTTATATTTTTTTTTTTTTTTTTTGTTTGGTTTGTTTTTTTTTTTTTAATTAAAAAAACCCCAAGGAATGTAACAAAATCCTTTCTGCTAAAGATATCACTTCTCCCTGTCTGTAACCTTTACAGGTCATGTTAAGGCAGTTAACACCGCAGCAGGTCTCTAAACACCTAATGGACCCCAGGGCAGGGCTTTATGGTATTAGTTGCATTATACAAACCTTCCAAAACTCAAGTTTCCTGCAGAGTTTGGAGGCTTTTATTCATGTGAAACAGGAGCTTCATGTTAAACAAAACCCGACCCAATGTACAAACAAACACATACAAAGGTAAAAGTCATAGTTAGGTTAATGATAATTTTTAATAAGAATAAAAGAAAAAAATGTAAACTGACAGTTATATAGGTGTGAAATGAGGTTTTACCCATTTCTTAATCCCCTCCTTTTAAGCCCTTCACTCATACCAGGTAGAAGTTTGGGTTTGTTTTGCAATATGTGAGTAACTGGGCCTCTGTGCAGCAATTACTTCTCACAGCTACTTCCATCATACCTAAGCTATTTTGGAGAAGATTAAAAATGGAAACCTTACATGCTTTTTAGCATTTGCCTTGCTCTTGAGAAGTCAGTGGAACTATTTGTGTGAACTGCCACCGTGGGGCTTTTTTTCAGGTATTGAAAAAAAAAAAAAAAAAAGCAGGATTTAAAACTCCACTGATTTCCACGAGAGACATCAACTTCCCCAAAGGACTCTGTCAGCAAGCCAAATCAGCGTTGGGGGGGCCTGACTTTTTCAAAACTCCAGAATAGGTACTTAATATGCCAGGCTGCAGAAAGAGGAATGCTTAGGCTGCTTGCGAGGGGCTCGTCTTTTCTCTATGTCAGGGGTGATGCAAAGCCAGACACGTATTGCACGGCTTGACAAAAACCTCTGCAAAAGACCCAGGTGTTGCTTCCAGTTAAAGGGCCTGACCCCAAAAGCTGCTGAGCATCCTTTCTGTGGGCTATTCGATCCATCGGCATCCCTGTTCCTTCTCCCAGTAGGGATTTTTTCAGAAGCAGCAGCCTCAGCCCGGTGTGGTGGGCGGGAGGGAAAACAGCATTTCGCTTCGCTTGGCGCTGGCTCCGCTGATCGATTAATGAGCGGTGTTAACCTCCTCAGGCTGTCTTCCCTCGTGTTACTCAGTGGGAAGGATGACAGCCACGCGGGGCATAGGGAGAGATGTTACATGAGAGGCTTGTAGTGGAGACACAAAGAAATAGACACAGAAATGCTTGTTTGGAAAACTGGAGCTGGCTGCATTGCACATTGGCGCTACAGAGTGGAAGCCAGCATGGGGACCATCCTCAGGCACTGGCCAAAAGCTGAGCATCATTGTAGGTGCAGGGCCCAAGAGCTGGGACTCATAGCAAGTACTTCTGGGGCTAGGGCTCGGGGTCTTCCTCCCCCTGCACCCCTCCCCCCAGAACAGGCATTTCAGAAGTCCTTTCTGTGCAGCCCTTCAAAGATATGGGAGTTAAATAAGTAAATATGTTTAGGGCCTTGATCTTGGAATAAATCCAGTAGTAGCTCTTTAATTACGCCTGCAGGGTGCTTCTCCCTGCACACAGCACTTTCTAGCTGCCTGAGTTCTGCATCTTCCTCAGCCTCCCCTCCTCTGCCAGCTCAAAACTTCCTAGAAAAGCTCTGCAGTTCCCTCTGCAGAGGAGGATGCTGGTTTTGTTCTGGTGTGAATGAAACCAGGGGTTAATGATATCTATTTGTGCCATCACGACCTTCAACTACAGTAAAACTGAATGGGGGGGGTGGAGACAGACACAAATAAGCCAAGAAGCTCATGGTTAGGTAAGGCAATATTTGAGAGACACTGAAGGAGCAACTGAAACAACTTGGGTTTAGGGGTCTATGGCTGGTATTTTTGCTTAGAGGCAACTTTGGGGCCATGGGATTCCTGTGAAGCACATAGCAAGCAAATTAATGAGTTAGGTGGGAACAGGCTGAGCTGCTACAAAAATAAGCACTCTAACTTATGTAGACTTTTAGAGATCTCAGTGATGCATTGGCCATTAATATTTAATTTATCACTTATTAAATATTTAATTTTGTATAGTTCTTTAATGGAAAGGTGATGGATTTTGTTGTCTACAAGAACCTGTATATAAAGATCTGGCAGATGTCTCCATCTTTGGAGAAATGATTGTATTTATATCCAGTTTGCAGGAGGTAAAATGCATTGTGAAGACAATAGTCATGTGCAAATGTGTTGTCTCATTTTAGTTTAGAAAAAGGCAGGAGTAAACACTAGCAGGCAGTGTTTTTATTGCAAAGGGAGAGTTGTTATGAACCTGTAGTGAAACTGCCACCTGGATCATCACAGAAAAGTTGAGCTGTTTGCTTCTACCTCCATGGCTGATGGAGCAGTGGTTATGGGAAGAGTTGAGATATGTTGAGGAGTTGAGATATACAGGCCCTAGTGCAAGGGAGATGTGCGCAGCATCCTTGTGCTTGTGCTTCCCCCCACCGATGGGCAGTGCAGTTAAGTCTCTGCACTGTTTGGAATCAAGGCCTTTGCCTCTGTGAATCCTTGGGATTTGTGCCACTAACATCTAGAGGGTGAAGCAGTCCAAGACACAAGCCACTAGAGCTGAAACAGTGTCAAAAAGTGTTGTAAAATCTTTCCCCTTTATTTTTTTCATGAAAATGGTGTGTGAAAGCTCCATGCCATAGTTCCTCTTCTGTTTTGTGATCACACATGGCCACCATATTCACCCTCTGTGTCCCATACCACATGCACAAATCCTGGCATATTGTGAAAGCAGCCTTCCTCTCAGTTCTCAGGCCTCTGACTGGGCAACAGATCATGAACACCCTCTTCTTCTTCCAGTAGTTTTTGCTCTTAAACCAGTAAAGCATTTTCTTAGGTCCTTAATAGCAAGCTTAAGGTTAAGCATTTGTTTAAGCACTTTGCTAAACTGTGTTTTGCTGAATCCCTGCCA